ATATATATATATATATATATATATTATAAACAAAAATAAAATATAAATATAAAAAATACTATAAAAATATGTGTAAAAAATGCAAAAAATATTTATAATATATTAATAAATAAAATTTGTATATTTTTATATTTCAATTTAAATTAATAATATTATTTACAATATAATGATTTACTCTTTCGTTCTCTTAATTGTAAATCGATTGAGTGATATAAAACCGAGTATTTAGTTGGATTGTTACATTTTCTAACTTTATTTTTTTTATTATTTTTTAATCACATATTTTTAACTCTATTTATTTTTTTTCCTTAAAAAATGTTTTATTTGGTACGCTTTCAACAGAAATGGTATGCAATGTGCTGCAAATGTTCTATTTAAATTATTTTTTCAACCAAAAAACATATTTTTTCATAATTTATAAGTACCTGAAATCTCATTTTTATTAAAAAAAAAAGTTTGACGATGATGCGGATTCTAAATTTGTAGAAACTTGCCGGTACACGAATCGATATTTATATTTATAGTAAATACATTATTGTATGAAATGAGCGTTTCGACTTAAAATACAAGTTCATTATTTAACATTTAAAATTGGACCCCCTGAGTGAAATTTCTGGATCCGTCACTGACCGAGAGTAGTGTCTAACTCCTTCATTGATGTATGACCTTGTGCCTACAACGTTGCTTGTTCTTCATCTAATATATATCCTTTCGTTTCGAAAAAAAAAAAAGAGAAAGAATCTATACTTATATAAAGAGCCATCATATTTACTAAAATTAGTAGCAAAAAATAGATCATCATTTAATGCAGCCCATAAATAATAGTTTTATTATTTTTCTTATTTTTTTTTTCTTTAAAAATCATACAGTTTAATCTATCTATACTTATATAAAGAGCCATCATATTTACTAAAATTAGTAGCAAAAAAATAGGTCAACATTTAATGCAGCCCATAAATAGTAGTTTTATTATTTTTCTTATTTTTTTCTTTAAAAATCATACAATTTAATTTATAAATACGATTTAATATAATCATACAATTTAATTTATAAAAATCGTACATTTTAATTTTTTTTATTTAGAAATACGCTTAAATATATATATATATATATATTAATTTTTGTAATAAATTGAATAAAATGATAAACAATTTAAATATTTAATTAATTGATATATAATTTATAAATCTCTATTTATTTAAATATGTAATTTTATTTAAAATTATTTTAATATAGCCAAATTTATTTAGAAAATCATATCGACCCAACCAGTTCAACAGACTGGTGTTGACGGATTCAATAGCAAATATTTTATTCAAGTGAACTAGACTGATTATAAACCGGTTCTCGATCCATCTGGTCGGACTGTGTCCAACAAGGTTTAATTTAAAAACGATGAGTAAATCTTGATTAATTTATTTGTATATTTAATTTATAACACAATTGTAATATTGTTTTCTCGTGCATCGCACGGGCAATGCACTAGTTTAATTTATATGTGTGTGTATATATACATATATTGGTACAACTATAAATAGGTGCAAGACTTGTGGAAGTACCGTCCAAAATTGTGGGTTGTAGTTGGACCCTATCTGTTGACTTTAGTGGGCGGTTGGTTGTTGGGCTCATCCATTTCATTATTCAAACCAATACTCCAAATGTACACAACCATCAAATTGGAGAAATTAAAAAGCTTCCCATACATGAATGGGTTGCATAAATTGGATTTGATTTCAAATGGTATTACAGTCTATTACTTACAATGGATCACAGCAGTATGTTATGTTGGCAGTATTCAAGTCAAGTGCTCAATCACTTTCAGACACATCTCACCATCTGATTACATGAACATGATAAGATTTTTGTAATAATATTTTCCAAAATTAATATAATGTACATTATTTAAAAATAAAATCAAATAAACTTTTTTTTTTAACAAAAAACGGAAGGCAAAGCCTAAGAAATCTAAGACACTATCTACCGGAGATGAGAATTTTACACCGGCAAGATCATGCTGCAACCAGAATCCCGCGCCAGGCGGAGGACGATTCAATCTATGCAAACCTCCCGGGCCCTTGGCCGCCAATAACGCCAAATAATCAGCAACAAAGTTCGTTTCACGGTATCCATGGTGGAGCTACACAGTCCAAAGACGACCCAAAAGGTCGTGTATCCCACATAAAATATTTCCATGCGGACCAGTCGTGTCCCCAAGTTGGATCATTGCAACAACGCTTTTACTATCAACCTCCACCACAATGTTATGGGCTCCTATATTCCATGTTAGCTGTAAATCCTGAAACAAGCCCCATAATTCAGCACCCACGATAGAACAACACTCGATTTCATCATAAAGACCACGAACCCAGTTCCCTAGATAGTCCCGAATAACCCCACCGGCATTAGCCATCCCCGTAGACGGAACAAAACTCCCGTATGTATTAACCTTCAGAATTTCCTCCGTCGGAGAGGACCAAGCCGCGACACACGAACCACACCCGCGCCAAGCTTACGTCCATCTTTTTATCCCTTAAAAAGTTCGTTTGAGTAAATATATATACTTAAAAAACCGCTGTCATTATTTGTTATTTACAGGTCGGGCATTCGCTTTCGTCTCCACACTTCTTCTCAAGATACCCACCCAACCAAGCACGACCTCCACACCCACACTTGCAGAGAAAAAACACACACAGTAATTGGTGAAGGACCTTCACGTAGCCTCCCCTCTAAAGGGTTCTTCTGCATTTGCTGTAAATCCCCCAAAAAGAGAGAGAAGAAGAAAATAATTCACAACTCTCACCTACTTACCTACGAACAATGTTGACATTTGTAACATCTTTCTTGCTCTAGCTCGCGTTTTTTTTCCTTTGCTTAATTTCTTTTCTCATGAATCTGGGTTGTTCTGAATGCACCTCCTCTCACTGGTATGGGCGCCGGAAAAAGACTCGGCTTTTGGAGGGTGTGCGTTTCTTGGTGGTTCCCGCCGCCGGTGACCGGAAGATCGATCCACATTGCCAATTGGGCTTTCCAGGTTTAGCGGGTCGGGTGCCCATTTTCGTGAATTTGAGGATTAAAAAATGCTTCTCTCACAGGGCAATCACTCCAGTCGGAGATGAGATCCCTTCACTTCCAAGCGCTGTTGATAGAAAGGACACTCAGATAATCACCCAACCTGCTGTGTTCCACAAGGATTTAAATTCTCTCCCAAGTGAGTGAAAAAAAAAGGGCCCTTTTTATATCTCTCTATGCTGAACCATTTTTGGGATTGTGATATTTAGTTAACGGTTTTCATTTTAATTGGATTCAAGTGATTCAAATCATTAACCATTCATTTGTCTTAAAAAGTAGTTAATAATTTTAGTTTGATAGTTTCTGGTTGCTCGAGGATTTTCATTTCATGTGTTAGAATGTTAAGTATTCGTTTTTGAGATGTGTGTTTGGTAATGATGGCCACAGATACTTAAATCCGTTTAGGTTGTTTTTAACGTTATGGAATTCTGCCGATTACCAAGAATGTGGTTTCGTTATCGTCTTGCGCCATGTGAGGTTTTCTAATGAAAACTTTAACGAAAACATCTTATCAGTAGAATAGATCAAGAAGATTTTATGGACTTTTTTGTTTTCTGTTACCTAAAAAAAGGTTATCTTTTTCGATTTTTCTGTCACAGAAGCTATGCTTTATGCTTAGAGTTAGTAATATGGTAAAAATGTATATCAGAATATGGTATTTTGCAAAGTGCAGATCAAGGTTTATTGGTTAAGTTATGACCAATATTTCGTTAACACTTAACAGTTCATAAATACTGCGGCATTGCGTAGCATGCTTCAGATAACATTTTGTTCAAGGGAGAGACCTAATTTAGTTACCTTCTTATGTTTGGCATACTTTTTTGGCTGTGCTGTTATAAATGAAGAACCTTTGTCTTCCACCAATCTTCCATCTTCTCCGAGCGATGGCACAAAGTTCCGTGTGGCTTATAGGGTATGTTCATCTTTTACCATCTCATATAAAACATTCTTTAGATTTGTGTAGATTTTTTTTTTTCTTTGAGTAATTTGTTTGCATCATCTAGGGGATACCTGGATCTTATAGTGAGGCTGCTGCATTAAAAGCGTACCCGAATTCCGAGACTGTCCCTTGTGATCAATTTGAGGCCGTGTTCAAGGTTATTACTTATTACCTTTCTTAAATTATGCTTTTCTTTTTTCTTTTCTCAATTTAATAATTGATTTTTTACATTTATCCTCAGGCAGTTGAATTATGGTTGGTGGATAAAGCTGTCCTTCCCATTGAGAATTCTGTAGGTGGGAGCATCCACCGGAACTACGATTTGCTGCTTTTTCATAGGCTTCACATAGTTGGAGAAGTTCGGCTGATAGTCAACCATTGTCTTCTTGGGTTGCCCGGTGTTAGAAAGGAAGAAATAAAGTGTGTTTTGAGTCATCCACAGGTGATCAGCTTTTATTTATTTTTAGGGAGTGACGGTATTGTGCAGATTTGGAACTATTTTAGAGTTTTGAGAGTGACCAGTTGTAAGATGAAGATATAAAACAAATGATTGTTGTAATTACAGGCACTTGAACAATGTGAGATTTTTTTGAACAAGTTGCGTCTTACCAAAATCAATGCAGTTGATACTGCCTGTGCAGCTCAGGTATATCCCTCAGTGAAAGTTTTGTTCAATTTTTCGAAACTTTCACTTTTTTGAAACTTTGGTTAACTCTCATTTAACGTCAAGACAGATTGTAGCCTCAGAAGGGGTGAGAGAAACGGGAGCAATCGCAAATACTCGAGCTGCAGAAATTTACGGACTTAATGTTCTTGCTGAAAGAATTCAAGTCAGTGTTTACTTCAATCTTCTCATTAATGATGCTTATTCCTTTTCGTGCTCGATAATTTGGAGGCACCAAAATAGCTCTCTTTTCAATAAATGAACCAAGATGTTTCAATTTTATGTAACTATAAATGGAATTTCTTTTACGTCATATTTTCTAGTTATGTATACCAACTATTTGTCGGACCTTCCAAACTCTCTAGCTACATATGCATAACCTCTACTGTCTTAAATGGAATAATAGTAAAAAATCTAACCTGGGTGAATGTCTCAAACTCCGAGTACATACCTTTTTTCTCTGAACTTTTCAATCACGTAAGTATTGTTCATTGTTCCCTATAAGGGAAAGTAAACAATGGCCATTACGTTATAACTTTTAAATTAACTCAGTTCATTAAATCCAACAAACAGGATGATTTGGACAACATAACCCGTTTTCTGATACTTGCAAGAGAACCAATAATCCCAGGAACAGACAAACCTTATAAGGTACTACTTTTCTTACTCTCAAACAAATGTACCTTTCTATATATGTCATTAAAGAATTATTTCTTCATGCTAGACTAGCATTGTCTTTACTCTAGAAGAAGGGCCTGGAGTTCTTTTCAAGGCTTTAGCAGTTTTTGCCATGAGGGACATCAATTTGTCAAAGGTAAATTAAAACGATCAAAACTTTATAAGTCTATGTTCTTTTTACCTAATTTATGAGTATCCATTAATAGCTTTTCTCGTGTCGTAAATTTATAAAAATTATACTACAGATAGAGAGCAGACCGCAGAGAAGAAGACCGTTGAGAGTTGTTGATGACTCTAACAGCGGGCGTGCGACGTGAGTGTGTCTATATTTTAGTCCATGCATTATGATCTCTCTTTGGACATGAGATTTTAACTATTTCGATTTACGTATTTAAGTTAATGTGTTTTGTGCTTATAATTGTTGGCTAAGATAAAGAATGCATTCTTGGATCTCGTTACGAAATGGATTACTAACATGATATTCCCCTAAAATTCGTCTTGCATAGGTGCATTCCTTATACCATGCCGAAAAAATAGATTACTAAATGCAACTTTCTAAATAATGACAAAATTGTATTTGTTATTACACGGTAAGTATTGATAGAATCCCATCCTTGCAGATACTTTGACTACCTCTTTTACATTGACTTTGAGGCTTCTATGGCAGAGCCTCGTGCCCAATATGCACTGGGGCATCTTCAGGTCAGTGTATCCTTCATCCCCTATTTTTGCCTTAAATTACTATAACAATATTATTAGTGGTAAATTTAAATCTTCAAATCCAATGATAAGAAAGACAACTTAGGTTGTGATTGGATATTAGGAAAAAAAAAAAAATCATTTTTGTTTATCCAGCTAAGATTCATCGAAACTGAAAACGAAACAACATTTTTCACAAAAAATACTATTATTATTATTATTATTATTATTATTATTATTATTATTATTATTATTATTATTATTATTATTATTATTATTATTATATCATCAGTACACATATGTTAAGTTCTGTGTCTTGATCCTACAGGAATTTGCAAGGTTTATTCGGGTCCTTGGATGCTATCCAGTGGACACAACGCAGTGAACAGATGTGATGAGTGGCATGTTGAGTTATTGTCGGACTCAGTGAGTTGGGTTTTTCAGTAGGCAGAAGAAAGGAACAATCAAGTTTGTAAATACAACATATATATATACTCAGAGTCCTACTTCAATCACTTCAAGGGGAGCATGCCTGGATTCGAGTTCGACTGGATTGTATGTATACATACATATATATTTGTTATTTTTTTTCCAACCGTATCAAACCTATATGGAAACGCAGATCGTTTTCAAAATGCAAGTTCTGACATTTGTGGAGCCAAGGAAACATTGTGGGATTCATTTTGGTACCAAAATCATTTTAGAAGAGAGATTTATATGGATTTTTGAACAACTGGGGCTGTGTATGATTCATTAGATGATTTTCGGTTAAAAATAACATGTATGAAGCTTTTTAGTACACAAAATCCTGTACATTTTGTTTTTTTTTTTTTTTTTTTTTTTTTTTTTTTTGTCTTGTTCTTTTTCTAGAACAGTAGAAGCTTGTTGTTGTTGTCTTTATTGATGCTAATTAGTATTTTCTGAAAGGTGCTTCAGCTGTTGACTAGCATTTGATGTGAATGACATTTGAGAATACAATGTTGATAGACTTCTAGTCTTTTCTTATATTCTTTTAAGAGTTTATATGTATGTAAACATTATTGATATGTTTACCCATCAAATCAGTTAGTTAACCAAGTTTGGTAAAGAGCTTATTTGATTAGTTTTTTTTAGCTCAAAACGTTATCTATCTATACTATTATAAAAGAGCCAATGAATTTGTAAAAATATGTTTTGCCTAAATTAACCTTAATTTGTCAAATTAATTTTGTAATTTAATATTAATAATGCAGTCCTAATAATAATACTAATACAGTCTTGAACCGAATTATCTGCCCCAAACTTTCACAAAGCCACATCGCCGAATCCTGCACTTAAATTCTTCACCAAGCGACATCGCCAAATCCTTCACAAAGCGACCTCTGTTGCGTCCTCCGTTGATCAACCACGAATCCGAAATAGGTCGACTCCCATTGGATTATCAAGCAGGCGATAAATGGTTTTCGGATATTTCTGACAAGAACTCATGTTGTGCCAAAAGACGGATTTTTTTTTTTTCCTGGGTTCTTGAGTAAATTAGCAGTTTTTGATGATTTATGATGGTATTCTCAGAGCTGGTGTTGACATCGTCCTCAAACGAAGGGGACCGGTGCAAGTAGCTTCTTGTGGCAGGGATTGAGTACATGATTTTTCAGGTGATGGTTGATCATGAGAATCTAAAGAAGATATTTGACAAGATAATTAATCAGCCCAAGGACGCCAACTTGATTCAGACTTTTGGACTCACATCCTGATAAAAAATTTAGGTATATTCATTCAGTTACATGTCCTCTTTTCGTTTTAACTGATATTACATATAATTCTGGAAGCTGTGTATTGTTTCAAATGAGAGTTTCAGTTGTTTATATATGTTTGAATGATGAATTAGTATGTTTTATTGCTTCTTTGTAGTTGTTTCAAGAAATAATTTCATTTTTAAAGGATTCCCAGTCCATGCTTTGAGCATTTCAAGATCTCTGGGTTTTTTGTTCTAAATCTTTTAAATTATTGTGTGTATGATACAAGACTTAGGAGACTTCTTTATCATTACACTTTTTTTATTCAGTAGCAAGAAATTCTGAAATTGTGGTAGATCATTGTTCACATGCAGATGAGATGTTATTTTGAACCCAACAGAAGCAGGTTTTGATTAACTCTCTTAAAATGTATGGTTGAATTTTTAATTATGCGTGTATGACGTGATTCGAAGATTTTAGGAAGAATATGAAAATATCAATTACCTGCCTAAGACTAACAACGTTTATGCAGCCCCCTGCAAGAAGCATGGTAAAAAGAGATGTGACCCCAAGGTTGGGGCCTGAATAGCTGAATCCCTGTGCACATGGCGGTCATGATGCTCCCGTATGTGGTCCCATAGCCACGCTCGAATGCTTGGATAGAATAGAAAGTCATGGAACCAGTTACCTTCATTTTTTCTTTTCATGGGTTGCACCTAACGTGAGTTGCCCCTGTTCTCTCCAACAGTATGAATGTCGATTGCTTCTTCTTCGTTGAATAGTGTTCTACACCTAATTTGAGCTACGCCTTTATGCCACTGGAATCTGCATCAGAACAGGAGGGGGAGGTTTATGACTTCTAACTCCGTGCTCGCCGACGACATGTACCGGTTCGTATCGTTCAAAATTTAAATCCAATTTTCTTTGTTATTTTTTGGTGGTTTTTAGTCCCTTTGATCGTTGTTCTATTTTCCAAATGTTCATGTGTTTATTGCTTGCGTTGCAATTAAATTTTGATTATGATTTATACATTGGAATCCACGCAGTGCAGCATGCCTCCTGGATCTCATTTGTCAGGATCAGCACCATATACATACTCAAAAATGGCCCAAAGCCGAACAACAGTAGGGTTCAGCATTTTCATGATTTTTCCACTCAGTAGTGGCACGGCAAGGAGAACAGCCTGTGGTTTTGCAGTGTGATGAGTGGGGCCTGAAAATAGGGAGGGATGTTTGAATTTGACGGGTTAGGCAGTGTGATGAGTGGGGCCTGAAAATAGCAGCCTGTGGTTTTGTTTAATTTGTTTGAAATAGTGTTTGACATACGACTTCATTGTAGGTGCTTAGAATTCAATATAACAATCAGATAGTGAGTAGGCTGCTATTTTTTGCACCAACATATGTTTTGTTTAATTTGTTTGAAATAGTGTTTGAAGACGTATGCTTAGAATTCAATATAACAATCAGATAGTGAGTAGGCTGCTATTTTTTGCACCAACATATGTTTTTATAAAAGCCACTTCATAGTTTAATTGACTCCTCCATTCTACATAGAGAAAGGAAGACTAACAATGCTAGAGTAAGGCTTTGTTTGGTAATTAGCGGTTAGCTGATAGTTGTTAGTTGATTGCATTATCTGTTTTGACAAGTGGATTGCGTTAGCTGTTTTGACTAGATGATTGTGTTAGCGGTTTGTAAGAAAGTCTTTGGTAAAATTAGCTATTTTTAATTTGCTGCTAACCAGTAAAATTATTTATAAGGATATCAATATAATTTATCATTCTTATGTTGAGTTTATAATTATTTTAGAAAATACAAATAATTAATATTTTATATATTTATTAAAGTGATTTAAATATAATAAAAATTTAAATAATAAAGAATAAAAATATTTATTAATTGAGTTAATAAGTTAACTTCATATAACCAAAAATATAAACAAAACTAATAACAAGACATCACTATTTTTTTTATATAATTAAATGTGAACAACTGCAATATCTCTCATTTATAATTGAAAAAAAAAAAAAACAGAGTAATCTAAGTTACTAATATTTACATCTTCAAGGAAAAAAATTTACATTGACAATTTTTAAGAGTTCCCTTTTACATTTAAGTAACTAAAATTATATATGTCTAAAATTTTAGAAAAATAATTGGTAAAATTAGTTAAGTATTATACGAGAATCAGTTGGAATCACATTTATATACTTAAATATTTTTGTTTATGTTACATTAGTGACAATTTTAAAAAACTAAATAATGTTTATATTTTTTAAATATGAAAAATGTGATATGTATCTTATTGCTATAGTTTGAATAAAAAAGTATAGCAGTGCACAATTCAAAAGTATAGTAATGCACAACTCTAATTACACACAGCTTAATTACACGATTTTGATTAAAATGCCGTTTTCTGAAATTGTGAAAGTATTGAAGAGTACGTTGTCATTTCTGTCCCCATAACATAATAATAAATAAGGGCAATTAAGACTTTTAAATTTTTATCTTAAACAACTGAAATCAAAACACTGGTAAAAACAGCATTTTCCCATTCAGCGAATAGAGCCAAAAAAGCTAATTATAAAAGTTGTTTACCAAATATTTTTTTAGCTGATTGTAAATGGTCAAACAACTGAATAGCTAAAAAAGCAGTTTTGAGGACAAAAAGTCATTAAACAAACGCAGCCTTTGTGATAACTCAAACGAATGCTATTAATGTCAAATTTTCATGTAACACGTAGTGTGAGAAAAACAACGATACGTGTAAATGGTATCTTCTAAATTCATGATATGATATAAGAAATATCACACTTTATTTATTATATTACAACGTACTTTTCATAATATTTATTAGGTTGAAAACCCATGACAAGCCAACAAATATAATTGAAACGTCAATGGCACAAAAAATGAAGGATGTGAATATCATCACATTGCATCAAATTTTACAACAGCTGTGACGACCTAATTGAGGTAACTTAAACAAATATTATAAAGAACCATTATATTCATTGGTTTAAATATTTAAATCTATAAACAATTTATCCATGACAGGGCAAACACTATTGTTTAAGAGGATTCATCGACAAGGTCATGAACAAAGCGTCTGTATGGTATGAGTCGTGCAAAAAATGTTCATCCCCAGTTGACAAGAATGATGACAACAACACGTGTAAAAGTGAAACAATGTCATGGAAACAACTTCAAGGTAATAAGAAAAACAAAAAAGATTCTATGTTAAGTTTTATAAACAAAACACAACTATAAGAAAATTTATTAATTACAGATATATGTTGATTCTAAATGTCGTTGAACCAAACTTCAGTAGTACTATCACACTTTTTAAAAATGTCACAATGGTTTACGTGGGGTGTCCTATTGCCTACTACATCATATTTATAACTTTAAGATTCATTTCTTCTTCAAAAACTCAATTTTAACTCATTTTCTGTTCCTACTTATTAGGGAGAAGAATCATCTGACTGTTATTAAAGATTAAGCTTGTAGTCAACCATCGAATTCTAATTTTTTATTCAAATAAATCATAAGGCCTACAACTCAAGGGGAGAACTGAACATGGTTGCCGAAGTTATTGCAAGATTACAATCTACAAATGATGATGAAATGAAAGAAAGACCATCAAATTCTCCCAAATCACTAAGTGGTCTGCAAAAGAAACATGGGTCATCTCAAAAATAGCAACTTAAAAAAAGAAAGCGCGTTGCCGAGAAGATAAATGAAGACGATAATTATAGTGTCATTACAATCGAGGATCATGAGACACTCAATAGTTTGAAAAAGAAATGTGCACGATTAAAATTCAAAATCAAAGAAAAAGAAATCATCTCCTTAAATCATCAACATAAAAAAA